AGTAAAAATATTGATATTATATATATACTTGTAAGAAATGTGTCTCAATATTTTTATCCTCTCTTAATTTCGATTTGCCTTAATTACCACTCTTGGTAGAGTTGTATTCAGAGATCTCTGTTAGGCTACTGAACGTTTGGAACCTGTGGCTAGTCCTTAAATTAAATAAGTTTTAAAATATTCTACACCACATTCTAAGTCACATTACTAAATAGTTTCCCCAACCAACTCAATATGAAAAGGATTTATTTGTATTCGCCACAAAAGCTGAACTGAAACAAATATGGCTGACCAAACTCACGGATGACCGCATTTGGTTCCAACCTTTGATTTGCTATAGACATCGATGTAAGGACACCACCAGCATATCAATCTACCCGGTTTAGTGAAATTTCTTCATTAGACTTTCAACTTTAAGGATTTGGTACTAGGTAGAAAGTCCATTAAAAAAGTGACAGTTCAGTAGAAGTTGATTTGCAGGCCACTGGACTTGACAACCAACGTCATTATGGTTGTGTGTCACGTTGTCTTCCAATACAGTTTGCTGACCACTTTTATTATAGTAAATAATTCGTCAAACAATACCATCCGGTCCTCGATACGCGAGCTGGTTAGTAAGCGAGATCCTTCAAATCTTTTGAAGGTTTTCAGATGAAATATGTCAGGCATTATGAAGGTTTTGTCTTATTTTGCGAATCTAACATTTATGCCTATTCGTTGGAGTTTATATTGCAGATAACAAATATGCACTTGCCCCTTTATTATAAAACATGATTTTTAACCGACTTCAAAAAAGGAGGAGGTTCTTAATTCGACGAGTATTTTTTTTTTTTTTTTTTTTTATGTATGTACACCGATTACTCGAAGACGCCTGGACCGATTTGCAAAATTCTTTTTTTATTCGATAGGGTATACTTGCCATTTGGTCCCATAGTCATGAGGTCAGGATCTGATGATGGAATCCTGGAGAAACCGAGGGGAACTTTCGAAAATTGTAGGAGCGAGTAGTGTTTTTGTATGATGTTTAAGTAGGCCTTTATCAACACTACAACTTGACGAAGGTCGAAGTCGACCAGATGTTGTAGCTGGAAGACAGTCGAGGGATCTCCTTGACTATTTGAAGTAGTTGCCTTGTGTTTGGGCTTGAATGATTCGTATTGACGAGCACTTTGCAGCAGGCTTGGTTGTAACTGTCATTAAGGGTCTGATGATGAGAACGAAGGACAGCTCAAGGAACTCCTGAACGGTTTACAGTAACTACTTCGTGTTTGAACTTAATTCATTTATATTGATGAAAACTTTGTACCTATATGTATTATAACAACTGAAGGTCTGCAGTTTACCTGATGATGGAGACCATTGACCGTCGAGGGAATTCCGGATGGAACCGAGAGACAGTCGAGAGAACTCCTCAACGATTCATAGCAGCTTCCTTGTGTTTGAGCTTAATTAATTCGTTTTGATAAGAACTTTACATCTAGATGGATTGTGACTGTCATCAGGGATCTGATGATAAAGACGAAGGACAGTCTAGGGAACTCCTCAACGGTTTACAGTAGCTACCTCGTGTTTGGACTTAATTTATATTGTTAAGAACTTTCCTAGAGATATGGCCTGTGTTCCAGTAGTGGGAACATTAAAATGGCTGATGATGATGAGAACTTTCCCGTTTCTTGAGATCTATATTTTTTTATCGAGCGGCTCCTTTCGTAGGCCTAGGTACACAAAGCTACTTAAAAAGTATATACTATTCAATATGTTAATTTATATTTAAAATGATACTGTAGTTTACAGAAGAACTTGTAACTAATACTAAAAAGTAAAAAATAAAAAAACTACGTTTAAAAAAACCGACTTCAAAAACAAAAAAGTGTCAAATAAGTAATTAAAATTGATATTTTAATACCACTCTTACGTACGCGAAGCTAATACTTTTAATATTAATAATAAAACACTATCAATTCTATGTGCTACCTATTCATAGATTTGAAGTCGGTGCCAAGCCCTAAACAGAATAAAACAAAATGAGAATTAAGACTGTTTAATTGCTGAAAGACGAAATTTCCACAACTAACAACGCAGCTATCTACTACTACTTTTAACAACCAAGTACGAGAAAACTTTCATAATTCATCCAAATATGTATCTTTCTAAGCTATATACAGTTTCGCCGGTAACGCAACCATATAGACTTCTGATTCTACGCTAACGCCATCAAGTTAGAAAATCGGTACTACATTTCTTAAATCCTAACAAATAAATTCACACGCGCCCGGCGAGTGTAGGTACTCATGTATCATGCTTATTAAGTATATTATTATGTATTAGGCTTGGCACCGACTTCAAACCTATGAATAGGTAGCACATAGAATTGATAGTGTTTTATTATTAATATTAAAAGTATTAGCTTCGCGTACGTAAGAGTGGTATTAAAATATCAATTTTAATTACTTATTTGACACTTTTTTGTTTTTGAAGTCGGTTTTTTTAAACGTAGTTTTTTTATTGTTGTTTCGGGTCTGCGTGTGATGTGTACTTAGGTGAAATTGTATGTTTGTCAACGCACCTACAACACAGGAGAAGATCCTAGTGTAGAGCAATGTTTTTTTAAATAAAAACAAAATCACATTTAGTTAAATTTTGTTTTTTAAAATCTTATTATCGTCACCTACTTTCAATTTAAATACAAAAAGAGGCTCAATGGTTTAGACCTAGACTAAAGAAAAACTTTGTTTTGTAATAAGGCCGTTTGAGTTGAAACTTTTCCTTAATTTTGAAACCATTTTGAAGAGGCTTATATCAATATAATTAATATTTGTCGATGCATAGAAAATCTGCAAGTATCCCTAACGTCATCACAATTCATATCACTCCCAACTTTGTGCCCTATATTAAAACTTGTTCACTCTATCCGTGCATCGCAGGCTTGACAGCCAGTATTGAATAAACATACAACAATCTGTCCTTTGACATGGCAACGTCGGCTATTCTCGTTTTTTACGGCCTGGTTATATTATTTTGAACTTTAATCTACTATGGATGGTGGTTAACTTTAGAAACTTCGCTTGAAAACATCTTGTTGGTAGTAATTTTGAGCTTGAATAAAGATAAAATGGATATAAATTACTGTGGGAGAGCCATGCTTTGGTACAAATGGGCCAGCTCGACCGGAGTGAGACCAGGGCCTCGCAGAAAACCAGCCTGAAGACGGACCTTAAATCCCTAACAACCGACGAGACGACGGCGATGCACTTGAATTAATTCCTTTGTTACTACAAGTCTCCAAAGGTGGCGATTATTGCATACTATCGCGTAATCCATATGCTCGTTTGCAGACCTATGACAAAAAAATGGAACGACTTTATGACGAAAACTATTTATAACGTCCTAAAAATCCTGACATTACTTGTGACTAATGTGAAAATATAATCCCTTGCGACAGTTTGTCAGTGGTTTAATTGTGTCATTCCTAATGAGAGATCCCTAAAGTGTCGGACACTTCTCAAAAATAAGGAGTATCATTTGATATAGACGTACAACGGTCTAACAAATAGTGTCATAGAGCAGGGTGTGGGTGCCGGCTGCCGCGGTAATGGCGCCATACATCGCGCCCGCGGTATATTAGCCCAAGATTTACTGAACCTATTTGTCAGCTGTTTGTAAACGTTTAAATGCTTTTGGTCGGTTTGGAGTGGAAAGGGGTTTTATTTGAAAAAGACACCGAAATCTGCTACTGTAGTATTTGGGCCTGTCTTTCCTCCCATCCTTAAAATCTTAAAGGTAGGCAACGCTCGTTCCACAGTCGCTAGTGGATCGGCAAATCATTTGCACATCTTTGGTATTACGGTTGCTGATTCGCCATCAGATGATTCATCCCACGTTTGCTTCCCTTGGATATAAAAGGATAAAAGGCTTAAGCTAAAACTTGGCACAGTTTTTTTGGGATAAGTCGCTAAAATGCAGATAGCCTGATGGGATCGGTTGAGCCTGCAACATCAAATATGGCACTTCTGCCGCCCATGGTGGAATGAGAGAAAGTGTCCGATACTTACTGACTAAAAACCTACCCGGTGCTTGTCCTACTGTATGCCGGGGCCAGGGCAACAAATATTAAGGGGTACCATGTGCGTTGCCGACCCGTTGGAGGTTAGGGATTTGAGAGTTGGGGGATTTGGAAATGGGAAGTAGTGGACTTCCTAATAACTTCACTCTAACAGGCAAACACAAATACATCATATCATCATCATATACGCCAGTTTTCTCTGAAGCCGTAGTATCACTCCGTCAATTCGGCCTTGTACCGAAGCATGGCTCGTCTAAAATATGATTATAAGGCAAATATAAAGGTTCTAACATAATTTTTGTAGCTGGAAAAGAAACGAAAGTACATTTTTGCAGTTTGTACACCATAAACAGATTCAAACCAACAGTAAAACAATTTGCCGGTAGCTATAAAATACAAAAAAAGTCGCGCAAACAACATTGCACGGGTCCCAGTTTCCGTCACGTGCGACGCTCCATAAATGGCCGATAATGCATATAGCGCCATCTGGCGGGAATTCGAGCACTAGATAGTAACTGGCCGCAACATCCACGTGTTTATGGGCGCTGTTACAAAAACCAGGCGCTACTTGAGCGCGCTGCGTAACGTGCTACAGTAACAGCCAATGTCATTTTGTTTTAGGTATCAAACGAAACTTAAAAAAATATGGCGATTTTATTTGTAGCCATGATTGTTCTAGCTGCGGATATTATAAAATTGATTTAACTAAATCATTCAGAATATAACGTTAATTGGTTTTTGTCTTAGTTAGTAAACTACTAGATATATGTTTATCTGCAGGCGTACCTTATCTCCAAACCAAGTCATGTGGTTTTTTCCTCATATGGTAAATTTCATTTGCCATGTTTTGAGAAGTGGCGGTTAGCGTCCGGGCTATCACGACTTAGCTTAACAAATAAATTAAAAGCAGTACATAAATAAAAACAAAATTATGTATTTATACGACCAAATCAATACTCCAGCCACCGTCTGAGTCTTCACCTTCTCGGAGTGCGAGAGGAGAAGGTGGTGGAGTCTCAGAGGCATGTTCTGTTGTGGTCTCAACGGGTGGTGACGGCTCCATATCTTCGACTGACTCCGAAGTATCCTGGGTGATCGCAGGGAAGTACGTGGTCTTTCGATGTCCCGCAAACCTAACCTTGTACGTCGCGAGGAATTCGTTTAACGGAGATTTAGTTGTAGTAGTGGTGCGAGCTGCCCCGGTGTAGTAATTTGGCATCTGGAAGTAAAACAACATATTTATTTAGAAAATGAATTTATATTTGGACATGGAATCTACTCAATAGTAAAGTAAATCTGGGCGATACTTAGGTACCTATCCAAGTATCGTCTGAAGAAAGATTGAAAATATAAGTAGATTGTATCGGTCCCAAGTAACTTAGGTTAAATCAGGAAGAAAAAATAGAGTTATAACATGAAACACTTACAGTTTCATTGATAGTTTCTATCCAATCAGTAAAGGCGCCGATAGTGGTGAACACGGTGGGAGCGTCAACGAACCCACAGACAGTAGGTCCGAACGAAATGATACCAACCAGTCGCCCGTCCAGGATCGCTGGACCACCCGCGTCGTGCTGGAAATTCATTAACGAAACGTAACATCACCCAACATTTGGAAACCTTCACCAATACTTTGTTTCAGTCAGGTATTTCAATTAGTCAGTTAAAAAAAAGGTAGGCCTAGGTTAAGCATGATAACATTTTTAAAGGAAATCATCGTTAGAAATCCTGGAGTTATGATTTTTTAGCTATTAGCAAGCGTGTAAATTAGTGATCTAACCTCAACAGTGGGTTTATAGGGGGGCGTGGATTATGATAACTCTCCTGGTAGAGAAGTAAGTGCTTTAACGTCCGGTCCCAACACATTTTGTCCCACCACAACACTGTTCTTAATCTCGGACTCAATGCGGTAATACTCACATCACACGCGCCCTCCCCTGTGGTCAGAGTGCCAGCACAAAACATAGTCTCCGGCATAAACTTGCTGCAACAAAAACACTGATTAATAAACAAACGAAAGAAAACCTTATGCATAGACTAAATACTTAAATGAGATGGAAATCTGAAAATTGGGCTTATCGATATTCAAAGCAAAATAATAGAACCAGGATTAATGAATATATTTGGCCAATAACATGAGGATTATAAAGTACTAAGATTAAAAGGAGTTCTGGATGTGGGAAATTCCGTAAGAATACACACGCAACCAAACAAAGCGATTATTTTAATTTGCTATCTAAGCTCATTACTTACTCCCCATAGACGTCCCTACAAAACGTGTTTGGATACACCGGCAATATTTTCTTCTGCAGGAATATCGGCTCGTACGATAACTTCTGTGATACCTGTAAAAATATGATTATTGAAAGTCTTATAAACTTCACTGTCAGATATTAAGAATTATCGTTTTGTTTTATTCATAACACTAAACTACACAACTTATTCTCAGAATGAATAAAGCAAAATGCTAAAATGTGCAACAAGTGGCAGTAAGGTGGCCAAATATTCCTTCACACTTCTTCACTCTTTAACACTAGAATACTTTCTCGACAGCACAAATCACATCAGTAGCCACTATCACTAAAAGTTTACTGCTAATGTTATCACTATCACCACACATAAAGTCCTCGAAATACATTCAGTGTAATAATTAAGCTAGGATGGGTGTTTTTATTGAACATAATCCTTGCGCAGTTGATATGACTGTCTCATAAAGAGTATATGGTATTCAATATAGTGAGTAGTAAAGTAAAGATAGAAATAATAAAAATGATTATACGCGTAATTTTCTGAATGTTACTTCAACTATAGACAATGAGACGCGCTTCAAACAGTTTAGTAAAAGCTGTTTTGAAGACTATTGGCAGGCTATTCTGACTTAGTCACTATAACTTCGAGTCTTGGATCAGTAAAACCCTTGTCTCACAGAAAATTAAGCTATCACCTTCATCAGTGTTACATACCTTGGTGACTCCCCAGCCAAGCAGCAACACCTCAGCGGTGGGAGGCGGGGAATGTATGTGCTTGTCGATAGCGATGTACTTGGTGACTGCATGTGACGTGAAGCGAATGTGTCGTCGAAGTCTGATCACTGCCAGGTTGCTCTTCAACGTCCTTGGGTTGTAGCCAGGGTGGAAGTACACCTGCACTCATTAACACATAAATTATATTATCGACAAAACTAACACTTTTTGGTAATTTATGTTATTTCCTATTTACCTCAAGGACATCCACCATCTCTCCTCCAATCCTGCTGTGGTTGCTTCCTATCCTCACTTGCAATATCCGAGGGTTCTCACGGAAAAAGCGATTGTTATGCAATCTGAGGGAATAATTAACACAATTTAATGGTAATAGGCATGTGTTTGCTTAGGTGAGTGTTTCAAATGAGCAGTTTCGACTGGAGTGATATAGTGGCCGGTGAAACAGATTACCGGAGGTCTAATGCCAATACGTCAGACTCATGAACTGTGTTTGCTGATTGCTGATAGCTGATTTAGTAGAGCTGATAATAAATGTAAACAGATAATTTTAATGAGTGTTCTTGTAGTGATTTATTTGTGGGTTGTAATATTGCAACGTGAGTATGTTATGAAGATTGATAACATAACAATTTTACAAATTGTTACTGCCAAAAGCATAGACTACACATGAGAGAATAAAAATTTAAATACAAAACACAACATACTTGTTTTAAATGTGGTCGTAACAAAGTCACGATATATTTCAAAACAGTTACGAATATACTTACAACTGGAGACAAGAAGCGGAGGTGATGCACAAGTCTTGCCAGTAAATGACGGCTCCGCACCAGAACCTGCCCATGAGGTGCACGGACGCCATGAACGGGAAGTGCCTGATGTGGGTGCGCTCGCCGCGGTAGATGCGGCGTCCGCTCTGTTTGTTCTGGTGGTAACTCTGCTTCGCTTCCAACTCCTTTTGTGGATCTAGAAATGAATTAAAACGTCTACAATTTTTGTTCAAACCAATGAAACCTAAATAAATTTCTGCGACTAAAATATTTTACACAGAAACCATTGAAATATTTCATGGTGCGATAACTTTTATTATCAATACATATTATTGCTCAATCGAAATTGTATTCACCCCAATAAACACTAATGTTTTCTTTTGTCTTATGGTTGTCAATCGGCGTTTCTGCTAACAGTTTATCCACTACATCGTTAATAATTTTTTCAGTATCATGTTGGGGAATTGGATCTTTTATCATTCTTCTGGCTGATTTCATCAGATTTTTCCGCGATGCTCTTTTTGCAATGATCTTCAGTATGTCGTCACGTGTCATCTTTTCCTTTAGCTTGAGAATCAGATTTTTTGATACGTTTGCCGTCAAGTATGAGAAATGATCTTTTTCCATGAGAGCCTGGTAGAAATTAGTTTCATTTAAATTTGTTTCTGACGTCACGTTGTTCAAGACTTCTCCGACCAGATTATTGTCAACCACATAATGGTTAATGTGGTCTAGTTTTTCCTTTAAATCTTTCAATCTACTCTTATTGTTGTTGCCACCGAAGAGCTCCACAAATTTCTTGGATACATCGTATACAGTCACGTTAAGTACTTCTATGGGAACATCTTTGATATCTTCTGCTGTGACAGTTCTGTCTGAACATAGCACTAGTATAGTGAGGAGTGGGAAGTAACGCATCACATACAGTGCTCTCGTTGTTCTGAAATTATCCCAACAACATTTTATGGATTTTGAATAATTTTATGAGAACTAAATCTTTTATCGCGTACTTGTTGGTAGTGCCAATCAATCTCGTTTATAAAAAATACTGTTTCTACAAATTCTGTTTATGTATATTGGACAAAGTTTTACTTTCTTTTAGTGTGACTATCAAAACTCAAAACAATAATACTGTTTTGTTGTTGCTTTAAAATTATATAAAACTGTTACTGATATTGGCTGTAGTCGCTGTTACGATGCCTTAAAGCACAAGTTTACCCATTGTCCTCATTTCGTATCACAGCAACAATAGCGTTTGATTGCATCTCTGGTCGCTGCCATAAAACACACATCAATGCCACCCACGCACGGATACTAGTCAGCACAAACAACATTGCCCAGTTTCCGATTATGCCTGATTTAAGGCTCTCTTTATCCACGGCCATCAATCAGGCTTGATACGCCTGGAGAAATACCTAAACAGGGAATCGAGTTACGACCCGCACGAAATTGAGGCATCCAACTGAGTAGACGTGGTGATTATTTTTATTTGGGATAATGTTCAAACGGTAAATTACTCGTGAATCTTAGTTTGTTGCTACGACCATTTTCGTTGCTCTTTAGCTATTAAAGTTTCGTTAATGGTTTCATCAATTTTGTTTCGGTCTTCATTAATTACAGACGTAGCTATCATTGGCAAAGTTAATGTATCTTTTATTTTATACTTTTTAAATGAATGTATAGCTACTTCACTAGCTAAAAAAATATTTTTTTTACTTGTATTATTTACTTATTATTTTTTTTCAAAGTCAAAGACAAAAATTTTGTATATGGTATTTGTAATCACGATAAAATAATACACATAATATTCCCGGCTTTCGATCAAGCATTATCACTTACCTTATTTTAAACAGAGAGCAGCAAGACAGCAATTTCTTCTGTTATAATTTATTAACAACTTTATATTTTAATAGGTGGCAAATTAACTGCACGGCTGATAGAACTACTTGAATTATGCGTAATTCCAAGATCTCACGTTAAAAGACCAATTAATAACTCAGGTAAAAGACCAATGAATTTTTAATTGGTCTTTTAACGTTACCAGCTCTTTTCTGTACCAAAAACATTACTCTAGTAAGTGACAGAGATATTTCACGTGGGTTTATATCTATGGTCATTATCTATGAGCAATAACAATTATACGTTTGTTTATTAATAAATCAAATTTGTATAGTACTGAAACCTTAATAACAATTGAACATTATATTGTTATATTCAATTGGTTTTCAAATTGTTTTAACGCCAAGATAATAAAGGCGTCGCGATAATACCTACCTACGAAGTATTATTCCTAAGAAATCGTAACTGATTACAATAACTCTCAATGCATTTATCGCACACAAAGGTGGAACACAGTGATTTATCCTAAACATCTGTCTGTCTGTGTGTCTATCTATCATTCGCAACTCCCTGCCCGATAAGTGATCGTGAAGGATCTGCAAGCGATTCCGTCTCGAGTCGTCCTCATGGGAAATCAACAACAGCCTCGTACTGAACGGGCGAAGGGATTCTCTTCAAATACTATCCTAGGAATGTATTCCTTTTACTTAATTCATTCTATTGGGGGTTCTCCCGGCTCCTTCACAAGATTCGGTTTCTATTGGGAAAGATTTTATTGGATTAACTTCAAGAGAATTCTGAATAGCATCGCCGAAACATGATTGTTACACGCTCGCTAGGAATTTTGGCGGTCAATTTCGAAAAAACCTTTTCCCAGGTACTAGCATTTTTGGGCGTAGCGTATGTTATGTTATATTAACGTATATGCAGCTTTATTTTGTGATGATATTAACCAAGGAATTCTCTTTGACAAGCAGCGCCATCTAGTTGGCAGTAGTGAGAATATACTATGAAATAAAATTAGTGTTTTTTGGTACTTGTGTAAAGGATCTGAATTTAAAATTAATATCAATAAAACACAATTTAAATAAGCAATAAAGATTCCCCATTCTTTAAAGTTCAAGTTGGTTTTCATTCAGCGCCATCTAGGAGTGAGTAGCGTAATCTGCAGCTAACGGTACTACTAATACTAACGGTACTCAGATTTTAGTTTGCGAAACTTTCTACTGATGGCGCTCAATAAGTGTTTACGATTGGGATTAAACATTTTCTGTGAGAACAATCGTGATGTTTAAGTTGTTTACTTTACGCAACAATTAACATTATCATTGTTTATAGTTTTTGGAAACAAAATGTTAGCTAGGTAGTTTTATTTTGTGGTATTTACGATAAATAATATCAAGTTAATTTATCTACAATCTTATGCTCAAAATTATCTTTTATAGGTTTTATTTTTTGTTTTTTATTCTGTGAGAATTATTTAATTAGAGTAAGTCTTATTACTATTAAACAAAATAAGTAAGTTATTAACTTCATGACTTTCAAGAAAATAACTCTAAACAGTAATAATTATAAAGGTTTAATTAAACAACTTCCATTTAATACAATTAACAAAGACCTTTATTTACATTACCCTGAAACAGAATTTGGCATAAATTCCACAATTAAAGTGAAAAGACTGGTCTTCTTGGATCAACGTTTCTTATGAGGGAGTTAGAAGCGTCGAGAACATTCTAAATGAAATCGCCGGTAATTTGATTGTAGCGTATAATTCAGTTGTGGCCAGTAAACGGGAGAGCCGAGCCAGTAATTGATTAACGACAGCCGCGCGACGCCCGCCGGCTCCGTGGTGTCACGTCCGCTAGGATATTTAATGAAACGTTTCCTGGAACCAGCGGTAGATGGCGTTGATTGTAGATATTCATGGTAGTGTTACATTACTTTACAAAGTAGTAAGTCATACGGAAAAATGTATATTAAAATAGCTTTTGTGTTCACAAAAAGGGTCTTTTCTGTGACGGATCAAAAGATAGGAGTTGATTGAAGAAAATATAGATGGATCGAATGTTGAGTGGATATAAAACTGTTGTAGGGTTGAGGAAGGAAAATAAAATATCGCTGACCGTCCTCTTTATGTCGCAGATAACGACACATGACAATAACAACATCAATTTTCAATGACAAAAATATAGAATCATTCACTGGATAATTATGTCTCTGGTTACTAATACGTATTAACCGTCGGGTAAACGTGTTATAGAATGGAGACCACATCTAGGCAAACGTGGTGTAGGGCGCCCTCCAGCTAGATGGACTGACGACATCCGCAGGGTGGCTGACAGTGGTTGGATGAGAAGAGCTGAACATCGAGCTGAGTGGCGTGCAATTGGGGAAGCCTATGTCCATAGGCTGATGATGATGAAGTATCAACAAAAATTGGAAAAGCAAATCACAACGTAGCGTTATAGTTGAGGACGATATTTTTGGTAAAGCTTGTATTATCTAACTTATAACAAGCAAGCACTAAATGTTAAATCGTAAGAGCGTGTGATACAAGCGGGTGGTGGAGGTTGTATCTCGGCTTCATGGCCCCTGTGACGTGTTCATTACGAGGATAGAATTAAACAGTTTGACTCGACACCGCTCAGGCCGCGGGCTTCTTAAGCCATTTCTTATTAAAATAACGTTTAATTTCACTCCCTCATCAACTGTTATTAAAGCTTTGAGAAAATTCTACAAAATGTCAAGTTTGTATTAAAATTCTTAGTATTATTATTTTTATGTTAATTTCGAGCAGTCAGGTCGCCTAGTTGTTTTATATAACATAATTTATTTTTTGTTTAACTTTCAATGGATTGCTATCAATTCTATCTTTGTGGTTACTTTTCCAAAGCCGACAATAGTCTTGTAGTCGTTTGGTATTAAAGACGTGCATAGATGGCGCCAATGGTGAAAGGTGTGCTCATTTTATCGCATTAACATAACTGTGCTGGGTCTTTTGAAGAAGATAATATTATTGGTAGTATAATACTTGCACGTCGATTCTATATTTTTTTTTTATTTAGAATCTTGTTCTAGTGTGAAGTGAGCGTCAAAGTGACGGGGGAATTGCATTATAAAATGCCACTTTTACCGTCATCTGATACTTTATCTATCAAAATGTTGCGGTCAATTTAGTTCAACTCGCAAGTACAGCGCTAGTGTACAATACCCACAGCGGATTTAGTTTCAGATACTTACAGAATCACACTGTTGCACTACAATTTAAGACAAAAAATGTTTAATGGACAGGAGAAATTCAGCTTGAAAGGTAAAAAAAATCCACTAGTGTGCTTCTTTTTTGCTCAACTTGGTGAAAGCACTACTGCATCTGGATTTGGTCTTATTAAAGTAAAGAACTAATTTTAAATGATTTCATGATTTTTACTCAAAGAATCCTTAAAATCTAAACACTATTTTTGGATCACACCAATTGTTGTTCCGTTCGTGAATCGAACCCGCAACACGTTGCGCACCATCCAGTTGTCCAGCCACTTTGTTACCTGAACTGTCCAATACACAAACATCGCTTATTCATTCAAACAAAATCAATTTACTTCTAAAAAACTCCGTCAGTCAGTCCCACGCGCCGCCATCGCTAACAGCCTGCAGTAGCGTACAAAACATTAGCAGCGGGCCATAAATAACTCGAGTAAAAAATAACAAGTGTCACGCAATAAATAACCGTTCTCTGTACCTACAGGTCACACATGTTTACTGAGGAAATGGTTTAAGTGATTCGCTCGCTATGTACACTGTTGTATGAACCAGCTTTCAATGTGTAGGGATCTGTACGAATTTGAATATCTTGTACGGGATCCGTTCGCTGTCCGGCCATGCTGTATTCCATAATCTGATATAGCCAAATAGTTGAAATTTACAAAGATGACTTGACTAGATGTACTTTTCGTACGTAACGTAACCCTTCGGGCGAGTAAGATCTAGAATCAAGTCAATCTAGGGTAATAATATAAAATTTATTAACTGATAAAATCACAAAACAAAGTCGCTCTCTCTGATTTACACCATTTAGATATTATTACAAGTATGAACCAAAAACTGTTGTTAGATAACTGATTACATTAGGTACATACCACTCCAGAAGTTACGCTTATAATTTTAAATGTTGTAAAGCAGTTAACAGTACAATGTACAACTCAGTCTTATCTCCCGTGTTATGGAAGTCGTAAAACAAAGGAACGAGCTGTAACATTCAGCTGAAGTTTTCAGTGCAGAATGTAAAAACTTTAATGAATTGCGTAGGTACAAGGAAAGTGTGTGGGTGTAACAAGAAAATAGTAAAGTATTTTCAGGCATTGTGTTTGACGTACACGCTGGGTTAGAATTAGCTAAAAAAATATTAAGTGAACACAACTTTTTTTATGATGGGAAGTTTGTCTCACATCTTAGGTAGGGATAGAGTAGGAGATAAAAGAGGTTGGTTTTTAGTCAGTAAGACTCTGACAATCCCTCTCGTCCCACTCAGGTTATGAGAATTCGCTTGATG